TATAGCTTTTTAATTTTTCTGCAGAAATATTTTCGGTCAAACTGAATTATACAGTTGAAAGCCTGTCCGCAGCAAATTTTGCTTAGGAAGTTGGATATTTATTTTAGCAATAGTACGCAAGTGTATACCGTTTCTTTTAGGTACATGGTGTGTGACAAAATACAATCCTATTCTATCAGTGTATAATCAAACCAATACATTTATTCAATATTTGGTACCATTTTTCATTAATTTTATATTAACAGTCATTTTAATTTCATTAATTGCACATAAACGAGCTGCTATTGCTGATAATAATAAGACATTGACAACAGTATATCGAGAACAATTTCAAAAACGAAAAGATTTGTTTATACCATCTATTATCATTTTATTTTGTGCACTACCACAATTTCTCNTCTGTTCTTATTTACCACAAGTACTCGGCTACTATTTATATATTGTACCATCAACATTTTACAGAGAAGAATTCAGTGCAACAATATTTGGAAAAATATTAAAAGAAAAGAACAGACGAACACAACTAGAGCAGCTTGAACGAACCAATAGAACAACAAGATTAGAAACAATAAAAAACTAAGTTTGCATCAACAATAACATTGTGCATTGTCATTTGCTTAGCTATAGTTGTAGAAAATAGATTGCATAGCAAAGAGACTTTTCTATGTTCACGTAATGAACGACGATACAAGAACTTGTATACTTATCCTCTGGTTGATTTTTTTGTCTGTCTTCTGTAAATGAGGACAAACGTTTCTATTCATTGTAAACCAAAGATCTCCGATTAAACTATATTTATTATAAGATAAACTTCTCAGTGTCTTCAATAAGACACTCCCTGCTAAATCGGCTCGCCATCGAATAGCAAGAAATGCAAGTCCACGATGTCGTACGTTACCAATGACAAATTAAAATGAAATTTAAAAGTGGAAGTAGAAACAATAAATAAACAATGAACTGGAAGAAAACTAACAATAAAAATAAAAAGTAGTATATTCCAAATTATAGAAAAGAATTTAAGTAAAATCATTTTACATACAAACAGCGAGCTTTCGACACTATCACAGTATCATCATCAGGCGAATGACTTTTGAGAGAGAAGAGAGACGAATATATACAGAGATTTTTCTACAAGGAATTTTCTAGTTGTAATTTCTCTATTTTTCTACTTTTGCTTTTCTTTTCTCGTCTAGTTGAATATGACCGTCTTTAGTGATATATCATTGTATGTCAGGTTATTATGTTGATATATTATCAGTGTCTCCTCTAGTAATCTTTTGATTTCATTTCTTTCATAAGCCAAAACACATGGTTTGCCAAGTTCTAATGTGTGATTGTTTTCAGTGGCATGAACGAACAGTTTTGAATAGGGATCTACTTTGTTTAGTGTCTTTTTATGTTGATCCATTCTAGTATCAATTTCATTTCCAGTTTGATCAACGTAAATATTAGCACAATCATTACACTCTATACAATTGTATTGGTGGTCTTAAATTACTGCGACGATTTAGCACTACAACTTAACAGAGTTGAATTTTTGATTTTTGGTTTAACTTTTGAGAAGAAGAAAGCTTTTCGAAAAGTTAGCCATAACTTTTTCCAACTTTTTTGAAAAAGCCTGTCGGAAAAGAATTAACAAAAGAATTTCAGAAATTCGGCTCTTTTATGCCATTACTCTAACTTGATTTTATATTTTAAAACTAGCCCGAACTCTCCAGCTGCTTTCTGAGAGCAGAAATCTGTCGGACGGTAGATGCCTCATTTTGACCCATGTTCGAGCGACATCTAATAAACGAGGACAGGTGGAGCTGCCAAAACTATATTGTAACTATGCCCAACATTTGCTGAAATTTTTGCTCAGATCAGACTTGTGGTTACCGAAATAGATTTCTGACGCGAATGAGGGGGGAGGGAGGAGCTTAAAATAATAACATTTAAAGTAAAAGCTAAAAATACAAAATAATTTTAAAAAAAAGAAATCATCACTATAAACACTATAAAAATATTAAAGAACTTCTTTTTAATCAAATCAAAATTAAAGAGACATACATAAAAAATAATAATAAATCATCATGTACTCTACTGCTGCTGCTTTCAAGATACCAATGGCAGTGAAATATTTTTTTAGAGAAAAAATTGAATTGGACGATGGTAAAGATAAACAAAAGACAGAAATTGACAACTTAAAAATGGAATCAAAACAAATGCATGGAACAATTAATAAACTGGAGGAACAAACAAATAAAGTAAATGTGTTCGTATGTACTCTATAGTCGAAGTTGGTAAACACACTTTGTTTTCTATAGCTTATAACGGGTATGAAATGGATAGTACAAGTAATGGCCCGTTGTAAAATGTCAACAGAACCGATTTCAATCATATTTCCAGCTTCAAAACGGAAGCGAAGTTGAGAAATATTTACATAGATTAATTTATAGAGCATTTTTTGCGCCATAGCGTCATGTTCTGACGAGTTGGCGCTGTAGATCACAGAACGAAACTTATTGAGAGATGCAGCAACTATTCGAGTCAAAGTACCAATATTTAACAAAAACGACTGATCGATTCTCTCGGAGAAAAAGCGCCACTTTTTGAAACGGGCATGAAACGATTCGATCACCCATCGGCACTTAGTAACCATACGAGATTCATTTGCGTCCGCGGTAGTGAACTGCTTTTCAATCTTGCCCAAAAACCAAGGCATCTTCACATCATATCCCAGCGCTTCAAATTCTGCTGCTACGTCTCGAAAACCGCGATCCACTATTTGTACGTCGTTGACCTCGCATAAAACTGATAGATCGGTACATGTATTCAAAATGGCCTTTGAAATTGATGCGTCATTATCTTTTCCATAAAACGGACCGATTGAATCGAGTACATATCCGTCCGGTAAGACCAAGCTCATCATCTTGACCAGATGCCTCGATTTATGCCCTGAATAGCAGGCACGTTGTAACTGATTATCACTCGATTTGTTACAATATACGTAGGTGCCATCCCAAATTATTACCAACTGATCGCCAAAAAACATCTTCGAATAGGATGTATGATGACTAATTGCTTCCACCCTCGTCAAATGATTCAGTCCTAGATGAGTAGAAACAATAGTATCATTGAACATACGTGTAACAACGTGAAATGTATCTTCTACGCGGCGTCTAATACTATCTTCCAATGTTGATATCTTGAATAACATACCAATCTGTCGGAATGACAGATTAGTTTTTAATTTTACCCAAAACATACAAAGAGCCTGAAAAGAGCCTGTTCGATGTTTCGAAGAATGCATACGAGGAGTAATGATAGACGCCATTTGTTGAAGTTGTTCGGCTGTCCATCCTGTCCAGCTGACATAGTCATCTTCTGACACACTATCATCATTCTCAGCGAGGATCGGTGAACTTTTGACTCGTGCAAGCTCAGTCGTAAGATCATTGATTCAATCAAGGTCCTTAGGGTAGAGCTAGGATTGGCTTAATTCCCATTTGAAAGAAAAATCTTTAAGCTACAAAATAAGGGATTCCCCAACTGTGTACATTGTTCGGCTGAAGAGCTATGACTTTCACAAAACGTAACGGACTTACGTTTTTTGGCTGGTACGTGTGGACTGGCCGAGCAAATGGGAGATTCGACAACGGTAGATTCTAAGCAAGCACTGACAGAAGCTCTGACTCGCCAAAACGAAACTGAAGAGTTTCAACAGCTTCTACTCAAGCAAGTTTGAAAATATTTGAAGTCATCATAAATAGACGAAGATGAATTGACATTGACAGAGTTGAAGTCTAAGCGTGAAATATCAAAAAAATAACAAGAACAACAGATCAGTTAGGTTTTCTAATACAATCTGTCAGAGACAAACAATTTTTACAGGACATCTTTAAAATGAGAACCGTTCACAATGAGCTCTTTAATGTAAGTCAAGTATGTTGTGGACTTTAATCCACTAAAGATAAGATTCTTTACAAAATCAGAGAAAAAAACCAACGATATGACATCATGTTATTGTTGGTTTTTTGTCTGGTTTTCTGATGGAAAACATTATCGCAAAGAATTCAGAGCGCGAAAGCTGCTATACACGAGTGTGAGATGGAGTCTCTGAGAACATGACTTGATCATGCAAGAAATGGTTTATATGAGATGACACTTGAGGAAAGAATTCAAAATGTGAGAAACCAGTTGAAAAAAGTAGGCGAGTGCGAAAAAGAAAAACATTAAATGACTAATAATAAAAATCAATTAAATATTTTTTTATCTTATTTAAATGTTTTTCTACCTGAGCTAATAAATATTTTTCATGTTATAAGATAGGAAAATATTTAATTACTTTAGAAGAAAGGAAAAATATTTAAATAAAGAAAAATATTGAACCGACTAATATTTAAATAAGATGGAAAAATATTTAACTAGTTTTTAATATTAGTCGTTTAATATTTTTCTTTTTAACATCAATCTATAGACTCCATGAAACTTCTAAACTTTTACATTTTCTTATCACGATTTTAAATCAAGATCTATTGGAAAAATTCAAGAAGCGAAGATCTTGGTTCCAAGAAATTCCACTAGGGGTGTATTCATACCATAAGTACTCAACGACTAGAGCTATGCCATTATCGATGTAGAATTTGGGACCGTTCCAGCAAGATTGAAAAAGCTTTTCAGAAAACCTTCTCGTACTTGAAAGTTAAAATATATGTAAAAACAGCATTCTATTTATAATTTTTCTTGCAACAATTAGATTTCAAATGAACAGAGTCTCAAACTTTTGAGTTTTGAGATTCTTGATTCTTCCTACCCACATGTCAGAATAAAAGCACTGATATTGTCTCTTTTTGTATGCAAATTAGTCTATGTAAATATTTCTCAACTTTGCGTCCGTTTTGAAGCTGAAAATATGATTGAAATCGGTTCTGTTGACATTTTACAACGGGCCATTACTTGTACTATCCATTCCATACCCGTTATGAGCTACAGAAAACAAAGTGTGTTTACCGACTTCGACTATAGAGTGCATACGAACACATTTACTTTATTTGTTTGTTCCTCCAGTTTATTAATTGTTCCATGCATTTGTTTTGATTCCATTTTTAAGTTGTCAATTTCTGTCTTTTGTTTATCTTTATCATCGTCCAAGTCAATTTTTTCTCTAAAAAAATATTTCATTGTCGTTGCTATGTTGAAAGCAGCAGCAGTAGAGTACATGATGGTTAACACGGATGCATAGAGGTTAAAAACCGATAGAACGGCTAAAAGCAGCATTCTAATTAGTTTTACTCATTATCATACTTAAAAAGTGAGATAACAAGACTTAAATTTAAATAATTAAAGATTAAAATGCAAAAAAAGCAGGCTTTTCTAGAAAACCAGAAGCGCGTGGTACTTTAATTTTACCAAACCTCTACGTTTTTTCAGTGATCAGCTGAGAAATATTCCATTCCTAGCCAGTTTTTTAAAACTTATTTACTTACTCTGCTCAGGTGAGTAAAATAGCACGTCTTTCTAGAAATTCTACTTCAAGTGATACTGAAGAACAATTTCCGTTAAACAAAAGAAAGAGCATATTTTGAAACCCTGAACCGC